GCGTGAATATCTCTCATCTCTATAGGTATATGATTCTACTATTTTGTATATAAAGTTGATTAAATGATTAATTTTGAATTTGAAAATAAATTTTATTATATTTTTATATAAAATTTTTTCAACAATTCTGAATTAAGCCACTAGAGTTCAAATAGTAGCAAGATTTTTTTTTTTGAAAATTGTGGTTATTTTTAGTAGCTGTTTCTTAGTATTACCAAATTTAGAAATTAAAATCAAATATTTGAAAAATTTTATGTTTAAGTTTTTTAATTTGTATAAGAAAAACAAAATTCTTTTCACTTATTTAAATTTTGTTATGATTTTATTAATATGATTTAATGGTTTAAAAAATAATTATGGAAGTAGTTTTAAAAACAATTCCGGAAATTAATGTTTTAACTGGGGCGAAAGTTGGCGAAAAGCACTACAGTGAGACAATTTTATTTTCTCGGATAAAAGCTTATGAAAAATTGAAAAAATTTTCAGTTTAAGTAGTTTAATGCCATAGTTAGAATTAAAATTTATTCACCATAAAAATCCATTTCGCCTGTTAATATTGTTTAATTAAAATAATATTCGTAAACAGAAATTTTTTAATTAGCCATTATGTTATGGATTTATTAACGGTATTTTAATTATTTTATATAACAATATAATTTTTCTATAATTGAATATTTCTTTCAAGTTACAACTAAAAGCACATGTACGACAAATAGTTTACTTTTTATGTTGATGTGATTTACCACTAAAAATACCAGCACAACATTGTTTTATCATAGGATCATTATTGTCATATTTGGATTTAGATTTAGTCATGCATGCACCTTTCAATTTCATCGAATGTTGTTTATTAAAAATTTGTCATTATCAATAAAATTTGAACCTCTTTTCTTTTATTTACTTTGTTGTAACAAAAGAATTTTGTTATGCATTAAACTATTTGAATTATTTGGAAAAAAATGTTGCATAAAGAGATGGAAAATAACGAACGTTTTAAAATAATTTGTAAATTTAGAAATAAAAAAATTATTAACTAATCAACATGCAAAGTTAAAATTTAAAATTTTCTTACTCAATGTATTTGTTTTCTTACTCAATCGATACTTAATATACCGGGTGATTAAAATGTTCATAATTTTAAATAAATTTTTAATTAAAGAAAAGTGTGCTGTTACAGCTTAGATAAATGACGTGTGCAAAAATGACAAGAACTTTAAAGCAAAAAAGTTGTGACTCAATCTGAGGCCGAACTATAGTAATTTACCAAAAGAGATGGATAAATTTTGCACAGTATTAGAGACACTGCTTTGAATCCAGTTTGAGTAAAAAAAAATTTATGATTAATTTTTGATCCAATAAAATTATATTTACCTGTTTCGTAGTAGTGTGAAGAAATTTTTCTTATTTATTTGTAAGGAGTTCAAACTTTCTCATAAATTAATAAATTTAACTACAAGACTACATCTTAAGAACCCCTGTAATATTCAGAAATAACAAAAATCCAATTTAGCAAAAAAAAATTAATCTAAATTGGCATCATATTAAATTTGGTCTGCTATGTTGCAACAAAACAAAATTGTGATTAATTTTATCTGAAATTAGTAATAAGTATTTAATTGCAATTTAATATATTTACATAATATAATGAAGAAATATGCAACGTTAAAGTTAGGAGAATAAACAAAAAAAAAATAACTGAAAAATAAAAGTTTTCAAAAATTCCTTTCAAATTATGCAACAAGAAATTGCATTTTAACAGTGTCGTTTAATATTAAGTTTTTCGATATTTTACTGTTCCGATCATCACAAGTAAAAATATCGAACAATTTTAGATGACATTAAAAGTAACAACGAAAAAAAATAATGAAAATTATTTTTATATTTTTTTTTCTTTTAAAATTTTAATTTTCTTTCGTGCTTGTTTCGTGTAAATACTACGAATATATTCTCGGAGTATTTTGTGCTATTTCTTAAATTTTATATTAAAATTAAATTAAAACATCGAATTGTGAATTGTAATTGCAATCGGTCCAGTTACGAAATTATTACTTCATCTGTCACTTTGCGTACATAATATGTATATATAGATATAATCGATGATGATGATATATGATGAGATGATAATAATGATGATGACGATCATGATGTAGTTGATAACAATGATAATAGCCGTTTTGTATAAAAATAAATTAATATGCATTAAAGGTAAATGGATAATTGATGATTTTTTCGTACTTGCACTTATTGAAATCAATTTTTATTGAAAGAAAAATCAATTTATTCAGATCATGTTTAATATTGTAAAATAACTACATTTCAATATCAACACTGACTTTTGTTTTAAATTTTATTTGTGAAGCTTTTGCAAATTGCAACATTCACAATATCAAAGAAGCAAAAACAATATTGTGATCAATAACTTAAAAATTTTGTTGTTGATTTTGATTGTTTAAGCAACTATAATCAATGTATAATTTTTTTTCCTAAATAACTACTTTGAATTGCAATTGGTTTCAAAATAGATTCGGATCATATGTATGGTATGCAAAATACCACATTTCTTTAAAGAAATAAAAATATTTTCTCAAAAAACAATAAATTCCTCTATTGCTGCCGTTTTTTACATTGTTATGCAAAAATTGGTTGCATACTTGTAGAATTAGAACAATAATTAAGAGATGCCGGCACCATGAGTTAAAAAAATACCATTTTGTTGCATTATGGCATAAAATTTACCATTCGCTCTTTACTTTTATTGAAAATCGGAAAAGCTTCTAAATTCTGGGAAAACGAGGTGTTCAACAATTCGAATGCAATAAATTCTCAAAAAATGGCATATATAGAGCTTTGAGGGGTGAGTACAACTGTTAGAGGAGGTTTTGGCAGAGCAGTTAAAAATTTATTTGCAGACCATTTGTGTACAACATTTTATTTATCTGTTTTAAAGAGTGTACAAATTTTAGAAGCAGACGAACGAACGGACGCATCTACTTAAATTAATAGGTAAATTAATTTTCAATTTTATTGAGAATGTGCTTAAAAATAAAAAATTAAAAAAACCTTAAATTAAAAAAAACTCAAGACTTCTTAAAGTTCGCAACAGATCAAAGAAATCTTCCATAAATTGTTGTGCATTTTATGTAGAGTAAAAATTAACAAGATCAAGCGATCGACCCACTTAGTTCCTGTTCTTTTTTTGTTTTCAAATTTTTTGCACACACAATGATGCCAGACAAAAAATCTATAGATCCAGTTAGTTTGATTAACGGTTGTTACACGAATTCTGTAAAAATATTACGCAAAAATATACAGAAAAACTTTATGTACTGAAATGTTGTGTTTGCTTGCTTGTATGTGTATGTAATATTTCTATAGCGAATTCTTTTTTGTTAATAACGACGTGACCTTGGAGTTTCAAGCCGTAAGACATTATATTGTCCATTTCGTTATAATTTTTATTATTATTATTCTTTGTTGTATGCTTCTTTCAAAAGTAAGCATTTAACCACAGATTTCTTGTTAAACTTTTTTTTGTTACTCTTTTGTAACTATGAGATAAAATACATGTTTCGTTTAATTTATTGTGTTTCATTTATTCAATTTGGCTTTTCAATTAAAATATTAAGTTACTCGACAGGTGTAAAACGAACATTATATTGTTGTATTAGAGAGGGAAAACACTTGAAATATTTTATAGAAATAAGTGACAATTAAATTGTCAAAAAAATTTGTTATCGAAATTGAATAACTTTCCAAACTGTATTGAATAATACAAACCTAACCCCTTGGAACTGCTTTTCTATCGAAAAACCGACTAAGTTGTGTGAAGTTTATAAGTGTTACCAAAATATCTTCTAAAATGCATAAAAGACACTTCATGTTTCTGAAGCTTGTAATTAACTTTGTGCAATCATTTAGCATATTACGTAGACTATGAAGTAGGTGAAATTTGATTCTGAAGCGGTAAGATTTTTTTAATGAAACACTCAAATTCGAGCACTATGTTAACGACTCTTCATATGTGCTCATCCTACATTGCTCATCCTAAATGTATGCAATTTTTGAAATATATTCGTATGTAAATGAAAGTAATTTTAATAATGTAGTAGGTAAGTAGATTGTTTTTAAAAGCAGACTTTCTACATTACAAACTATTGGAAAAGTGCTACAATACAAACCATTGGTTTGACCACAACAACTTGTTGAAATTGAAATATTTTTTTATCTTCCGATCATCTTTTACCCAGCATAAATTATGGATTTATAATTCTTGTTATTTCAATTTTTTCGCAAAAGAGGTTTATTATATTCAATTCCAAATTGCAATAAGGTGATAATTTAAGAAATTGTACATAAATTTTTGCTTTTTATTTATAATTATGCTATATGAGATAATTGAATCAAACAATTTCAGTCTACAAGTATAAAATGTGGTTATGTCTTAATAGTGTTAGCTTAACATATTTTTTATGATTCTGCAAAAATATAATTATGATGGTAATTTATAAATTATATTATGTTTTTAACGCACTAAAAGCATACAAAATTGCTACACCATAGCAAATACAAGTTGACCGCAACCGCATACCAAAAGCAACGACAAGTTTATATTGTTTATTGAATACGAAAGTGAATCCTTTCTCCCGAGTGTTTTTTTTTTTGGTTTTGGTTTGTTTTTGCAAGAAAACAGGATTTGTAATCAGATGGTATCAAAATATTGAATAATTTTTGTGCATGTCTTTATTATTTTATTGCAGTGATCTACTAACCTACTTTTGTAATTTTTTCTTTTGATTTTATTTGTTTTTGCTTTTGAAATTTCTGATCATATGAAATTCATGTTTTTTGTTTTTTTTTTTTTGAAATTTTTGTCCGTATTTTAATTTTTTTTTCTTCTTTAAATAAAACCAAATTGTTGACCACTTACATTTCGTTTTGTTTTGCTATAATTTCTTGTTTTATTTCTTATCTTATTGTTTAAATTTCTTTTATATTTACAGATATTTCGTTGGCACCGTACTGCAATTTCAAATATATAGAGCAATGTGTATAGCATCAAGACAATATGATCCATCAGATCCGCAACGTCCATTACATAAATGTGATGTATACCGTCAACCAGAAGCTGGTAATCTTCTCAAGTAAGTATATTAAGGAATATATGGAATAAGAAAAAATAAGGGGACTTTAATGCAAATCATTAATTTTAATTAGCCTTTTACATGGTATTTTATTAAGTTGTTATCAGTTTAAACCCGTTTGTGTAATATAGTTTATCAAACCAGTTAATCATACAGGATATTTGGTCTTTTTGTTTTATTAACTATTATATTTTATAATTTTGTGGCCTTGAAATCACTAAAGATTACAAAAGATAGGAATTTTGATTATGCAACTGTTGATCGTATAGAAAGGAAGTAAATGTGAAAATAATTATTCGAATAACTGTTGAAATATTCAGGCTTTTGTTTTTGAATGGGTTTAAAATTGACGCCTTATTGTCTTATTATCTACTTATTACTTTATATTATATGGAATAGTTTTTGAATGTCCTTTCACTCAATTTATATTAAAAAACATAGAAAGAAAAGCGAAGAAAAATTGTTTTGGGTTGCTATTGCCAAAATTGCAATTACTTTCTAATAATTTTAGTATATATGAAAATAGTTATGTAAAAAACAGTGTATAAGTGTAGCAGCAAAATGTATATTGTTTTTTTCTAACAAGTTTACTAAATTCAAACCAAGTTCAAACAAAATTCGGTTCGGTTGAAAACACAAAATTTGAAATATGGCCATAAAACATCATGGCAGTTCACTTTATGGACTTCATTCAAAAATTGGAAATGCAGCTAAAAATAATAAAAAGGGCCTTATGAGCCCCTTGAATGAAATTACGATTACAACATTTGAAACCCGTGAAGATCTATTAAAATTTTTAAATAGTAATTATTGCACAAATTTTTGTACCAAAAAAAAATTTGAAAAATTATTTAAGCAGTAACTTCTATACCAAATTAGTGATAATATGCAGAGTGTCTTAGAAAGATTTACAAAAATAATATTCTATTGATGGGGAGCTTAAAAATTGACAAAACTTTTGTTCTCAAGTATGTGCCATATCATAATGTTTTCCGGGAAACAAGGATTTTAAGAAAATTCCAGAAAATTTTATTTAGTTAAGTTTTTTGCTTATAATTTTAGTTTCATGAAAGATAGAATCTTCAAACAACTAATTTATGAGAGTGCTAATGGATTGTTTAAAAACAAGAAACACATAATTTGCTTATTTACGTTCTTTTGAAAATGCAAGCATTCTTGCAGCAACTTTGTGAAATTACAATTTTTCTCATTTTTTATTTTTTGTTTTCATAAAAAGCACATGTACTGACAATTTCTTATAAAATTTCATTGAATTTTTAATCTTTCTTCAAATATTAACAAATTTTACAAATTCTAAAAAGCAGCTGATATTTTTAAGAACTTGTATATATGTTGGAAAAAAATATAATTTTAAAATTCTTTTTGTAATACAAAAAATTTTAGAGAAAAATTCCTTTTGTTTTATTTCTTTCGAAGCTTTTTACTATAAACAAAGAATGCCAGGCATTACTGCTCCTCTCTACAGCTTTTCTTAATTTCTTATGAAAAACAATAAAAACTTCAAAATTTTGCTCAAATATTCAATTAATACATTAAAATAAAATATAATCAACTAATTTAATTTTTTTTATTCTAATTTTTAGACGGATTATGGAAAGAGGAGCATCGCAACCATGGCAACAGATATTAGGTGACGTAATTGGAGAAGGACGTTTAGATGGTTCCGCGCTAAGAGATTATTTTCGGCCACTTGAAGAATGGTTAAGAAGTGAAAATTTAAGAAATCAAGAATTTGTCGGCTGGAACTATGACGGTGATTATTGTAAAAGAAGTATTGAAACAGCAAATTTACAAGTTTATGGTGGTTATTACAATAAAGCTGATCGCCTGCACCTTAATTCCATTTTGAATTTAACTTTTATAATTTTAATCTCTTATTTGACATATTTTTTATCATAAATTAACTATAAAATTGCCGAATTTCATTTTTTGCCTATTATTAATTTTTTTATATTACGACCTTTTATAAATTAATGTTTTTTTGTTATAGATTTGTTTGCGTTGAGTTTTTGATTAGTGTTGATTAAAATTTATGTTTAAAAAAAATAAAATTGTAATTATTTTCTTTCTCTAAAATATATAAGGTAAGACCAATTTTTTTCGTTAGCCCTATGACTTTGCGTTCTGTTCATTAAGTAGCATAATTATAAAGAATCTTTCTATTGAATCGATTAGATATCACTAACTAATAATTAATTATGTGAGACACAAGATTATAATATTAAATAGTATTAATATTGTAAATAATAAAATTAGACATAAATTTCATCTTTAATTGCATAGATCAACCATGGTCACAATTTTTAATATTTTACTTCACCAAAACTAAAGACTTCAAATACCATTTCTTAAAATATTCGACAGTGGTTTTTATTATCAAAGAATTACGAAAAGGAACATAATTTTAAAACACTTAAAACTTTCCTTATTTGTTAAAAGAATTTCAATAATCTTTGAGTTCCTCTTGAACTTGAATTCAAAGTTCATGATTTTCAAAATTTAAAGTGCAATTTTTAAAACACCAAAACTGTAAATATAAAAAACAACCACTCCTGAAACTAAAATATTTTAACTATTTTTAGCAAAAATTTTAGGAACAAAAAAAGAACCAGCAAAAACACTTAAATGAAAAATGAAACCTACTACAAAGCGGTAAAGCCTACATTAAAAATTCATTAATTGAAATCGATTTTCTTAATATGTTCACGAAAATATGAAATTCTTTTCATGTAACGCACCAATAAAATGGTAAATTTTTTTTTTGAAATTAATAAAAATGAACTTCTAATCTCTAAAAGTGTACTTGAGCTAAAAACCATAACCAAAACAAAAAAAAAAACTCGGAATTTCAAACAAAAAATCAACACATAAAAATTAGGTTCTTCCGTTTAAAAAATGCGCAATATAATCAGTTAAATGTAATTGAGATTACAGAAAATAAAGAGAAAAAATAAAGTTGGGTCAAACCAATGGTTTGTATTGTAGCACTTTTCCCTTCAACAAGTGAAAATTCTGCTTTTAAATACAGTCTATGTATACCTATAAAAATTATTTTCATTCATATACAAAACTATTACTAGGATTGCATATATTTAGGATGACGCATATATGCAGTCTTTGAAATAAAGCAAAAATTAACATAAAAAGGGGTTAACATAATGCTCGATTTTAAGGGTTAATTGTGTGAGTTAAGAAAAATAATTATATTTTTTAGTGTCACGAAATTTACCGTTAGCTTTTTGCGTTTATAAAAATTTGGAAAAGCTTGCGGTTTCGGAAATATAGGGTGTCACAAATTCAAATTTTACGATTTTCAAGAGGTGATAACTTGAGAGGGGGTGGAGATGGAAAAAAAATTTCTTCTAACGAAATGAACTATTTGTTAATGTCTAAAAGCCTCTAAAATTTCAAAGTTCTAGAATATAGGATCTAGAAGAAAAACGACATCAAAAATTTGGAAAAAAAGGACTTTAGATAACGGTAAATTTCAACGGCCATTTTGTTTTTCTAAAGTTTAACTATAGTATACCGCGCTAGGGGAAGCAAGCCGCTGCCTTTCTGCGTTTGCAAAATTTCAAAAATACTTATGGTTTCATTGCAACAAATATTTAAAAAAGGCCATTTTTAGGGTTTTGGGGGGGTATAACTTCTAGAGGGGGGGAGATAGGTAAAAATTTTGTTCTACGAAAATAAGTTTCTAGTAAAGATCTATGTATATATAAAATTTCAGCTTTCTATCTTCAAGGGTGTAGAAGTTTTGTAAACAGACACACGGACAGACGGACGGACGGACGGACGGACGGACGGACAGACGGACGGTCGGACAGACGGACGGACGGACGGACGGACGGACAGAGTGAAACTAATAAGCACTTTTTTCAAAAAATTTTTTGGAAAAGTGCTAAAAACAGAAAAAAAAATTAGAAAACTACTGAAAATTTTGAAATAAACAAAATTCAAACATACGCGCACATCACATACTTACATGCATGTACACATTTTTGTATCAAATTTGTAATTTTTTTTTTTTGGACAACAAAAATCCATAGGTGAATTAATTTATGCTAGTTTTACGATTATTATTTGTAGAGGGTGTTTATAATTTTTCACAGTTTTAATTTAAAAAAAATTCGGATAAAATCTATTCGCTTATTCTTAAACAATTTCAAATAACATACAAAAATCACATTACACAATAAATATTGCATATTTTTAGGATAACAGAATTTGTTAAATTAAGCGTTAATATCAATGTCGTATTTGACTTCTAATCTGATAAATTAGGAAACATAATGGTTCTTAAAATTGTCAAATGCTTTTTAGAGTGACTTTTTTTACAAAAAATAGTAATAGTGATAATTACAGCACCTAAAATCAATAAAAATCCAAAATTTGAACAATTTCTTATTACATTTTATCAAGGCCTTTAAAATTTGGAAATAGAAATGATTTTTGTGCTATATCTACTGTAACATTAAAGATTTTTTAACATTTAGTAACTTAACTTAAAGCTTTAAATAATGAGGTTAGAGGCATATAAAAAATTAAAATAAGAAAAAATTTTATTTTTCTTAAGTTTGAATGCTTGGTATTCTGAAAGTACATAAAATATAATATAATCACGTGATATGGCTTTCAAACTTTACATTTGTCTTTTCTAAAAGTGTTTATTTGAAGTTTCTATCTTTTTGGCAAGCAGCAAAATAAATTGGGCAAGTATAGAAATTTCGTGAAAATTCTTTAAAATCTCTGAATCTTGGAAACCATTGATTTTTGGTGCCCTAAGTTGTTGTTCATGGGAAATCTTTCATATCACTGTGACAAACTCTTATATATTCAAAGAATTATAAAACGTCTAAATTCATAAACATTAATTACCAATAGCTAAAAAAGTGGACCCTCCTAACCATTCGACTCACACTAGAAAACAATATATTCATTACAAAATTGTAAACACTCTGTATATATACTTGCATATGTACTTTTTTTTATATATATAAATGAAAACATGTTATACTTTACTACTAGTACAGCACATTTTTTAACAAAATAACCAGGGTACCTACTTAAAATTTGGTATGTGTACTGAATTTGAAATTTAAATGCATTTATAATGAACTTTTTTTTTTTGTTTTTAAACTTTTGGCTTTATTTTTCCCAAAAATAAAATAAAAAAAATTGTAATGCAGCAGGGTAACATTTTTTTTCGTTAAATTGATCGCCTGTGGATCGTTTTTTTTTTGTTTTTAATCTATGTATACCATTTTATTTTTGTATAGTGGTTCTTAATCGCTCATTCAACTTTTCTATATATTTACATGCAATCGTAATAAATGTATAATAAAAAAATATACAAAAGTTTGTCACTGTGTGTGTGTGTGTAAAAATTTTCATGTAAAATAAATTAGATGCATCGAGGGGGTGCAATTTGTTATTATGACTTTACGTATAATAAATAATTTCCGTACACTAAAACAACGCGAAATCAAAATAAAGAGGGAAGAAAATAAAGCAGGTTCACGTAGTTTTTGTTTTTAATTTTGATAATGGTAAAATTTTTAGAAACATTAATAAATTTTATGGTCAATTATAGGAAAAATTTAGTATTCCTGATTTTATGTATGTAACTATATGTATGTGTGTAACGTATTCTAGATCTTTTTATATAGAAATTAAAAATTTAAATTCTTATTGAATAAATAAGCTACTTATAAAGCTTGATATGTAACAAAGATAGCAAAACTTAGTTCAAAAAAGGCAAAGTTTTGAAGGACATATAAAAATACTTTAAAATGAGTAAGGGCTCAAAATTTAAATTAAAACGATTTGGAAAAGTTTTTGGAATGTTGTATTGTAGAGTAAAAAATCTTCCAGAGAAGAAATTTTTATCCCATGAAATCTATGAAGTTATTTGTGGTCGAGTAAACTGTGCTAGATTAGGCAAAATATTTTTTCTATCAATACAATTTTGTTATTACAATAAATAATTTTTTTCTTTTTTTTTAACTTACAATCTATAGAAATGTAAGTAAATAAAACCCACTTTTTAGTCTTAATATTCAAAATAAGAAATAAGAAATTACAAAATTTGTAGTGGCAATTGTTAAATAGATATGATACATGCAAATTGCGTAACTGTGCGTCCCGGTAACTCCTTTTAAATGTTGATTGCCGACAATTCGGAAATTGGTTTTTTTGTTTTCGGTTTTTGACTAATTTTTCAAATCGTTCGCATGAATTCTATAATCTAAATACTCTTCGTCTTGCAAGCTTACCTTCTTTACTTTTGGTTTGTTTATTAAGACCCATGTATTGTTATATGTATATTGTATATTGCCTGTTAAAATAGCAATCCCCTTAGTTAAGTTTCTAGTAAAAACTTGTATTGCCGAATGGACGAACGGGAAAAGTGAAGCTAATAAGCACTTTTTATTCAAATTTGGAAATTTCTCAACAGTGTGATTATAAAAAGACTAGCAAAACCACTTAAAGATAAAAAAAATCAAAACTTCAAGAACCATTCCGATTTTTCCCTTGCAAACACTTATTATTAAAATCAACATTTTTCATTATTATTTTATAATGTTCCCCCATATTTGATAAACAATATTTGATAAGTAAATTGTTATGTAACAGAAATTATTAACGCTTTCGATATCATTTTATACATTGAAAAAAATATTTAATATTTAACGAGCTTATAAAATTCTTATCCCAATTAACAGCTAATTTGTAACACAATTTCTCGTCTAACAATAATAAAAAGATCCATTCATTGTTCTCTTTTAAAAAATATTTCCCTAATTTACTTAAAAATAAAATTAGGGGAATAATTCAATAAAAGAAAAAAAAAGAATGAAAAAAATAAAAAAAAAATATAATTATGAATTTCCTTTTCTAAATTTAATAAGCTAAAAAGGACAACGACACCTATAATATATACAGTTAAGGCTGCTATTTGAAATAAAACCAAGAAAAGAAACACAAAAAAAAAATAAGTAAATAGAAACTAAATGAAAAACTTTCACTTAACGAAGCAAGAAAATATTTTAAATGTGTAAAAAAAAATATAAATTAGCATAAAATTTATACTATTTAGCATTTAATTCACTTAAAAATGTTGGAAAGCACAAAAAAAAAATTAAAATTAAAATTTATGAGCACCTCTTTATTAACAACACTACTTACTTAATTTTATACATAACATATAGCAGCTAGTGTACACAAACACATTGCACTGCAATACCCTAATCGTACAAAACATGTTCAAATGTATGTATGTAAGTAAGTAAGGCATGCATAAAAATTTGTACCTTTGCTCCTATATACTTTCACATAGTATTCCCACATGTGTGTATGCAAAAAATCGCAAATGAGGAGAGGAAACTTAAAAATAATAAAAATTAAAAATAGCGAAAAAAAAACAGAATTTGTTCTTTCTAAACCAAAAAATTTTACCGTTGTTTTTTTTTTTTTGGAATATTCAAAAATTTCTTTCTTCTCTTTCTATTTTTCTTTCTTTAATTTCTTCTACTACTACAGTATACTACATTACGAAAAAGAAAAAGAATATGAAAATAAAACAAAAAGGAAAAGAAAAAGAGAAATGAAAACTTAAAAAATAAATAGAAAATAAAAACATTAAGAATCATAAGAACAGAACAGAAAAAACAACACATGGAAATTACATGAGAACAACAGAACAGAACAATAATTTTCAGTGTTGTCGTGGAATCCACAGTAGGAAGAACAATTTTCAATTCGGATGAAATTTTCTTTCTTTTTTTTTAGAAAAAGAAATGAAATAAAGAAATTCATTTTCTCCGCGCAAGATAATATTAATAGCAGGGAAAAAATTATGTTAATTTAAATTTTCTCTTTATAACATTACAGAAAAAAAATTTTAAAAATATTACCAAATGAATAAATTAAACAAAATTGTTTCCAAATTATTCTTCGCTCCTATACTATAAAATTAAAGATTATAACAATAACTACTGAATATTACTCGTTAAAAATTAATTAACTAAGAATTTATTTTTTGATTAAATAAAAAAAAATATATATAATAAAAAAAAATTGTTGCAATTTAAACCATAAAAAGGATTATATAATATAAATAAATTTTAATATTAAAAATATATATAAAAAAAAATAATAATAATGTTATCAACAAATCAATTAATTAAAAATGATTTAATTATACCACAAATTAATATAATTAATGTGGTATATTTTATTATAATAATATTAAATGTAAATTTAAAAAAAAATTTCATATATTGTTCAGGATCATTATTACCAGTTGTTAATCATAATAATAGTTATAGTAGTTCATTAGTTAAAAGTAGTTTGGGTTTTCCAATGATGCAATTAAATGATGATCATCATATATGTACAAAAGAAGAGAATTATACAGAAATAATACAAGTACCAGTACAACAACCAGTTAGAATTCGTACACAAACATGGTGTTTTGAGGTACCACCAAGATGTTCAAATTATCGTACAGAAATACGTGAAGTAATTAAAGTTGAGGTAAGAAATTAATATATCATATTATAAGTATGTTATAATGCAGAGGTGGAGAACCGTTTTACCCACGGAAGCCAAATTTAAAATAAGAAGAACTAAAGAGGCCGCATAAGTTTTAATACCCGTAAATGTAGCTTTTATACAGTTATTGCTGTGCAAATTCAAATTTTTTTTTAAATTTTGAAGTCAATATTTTTTTAATAGCATATACAAATATTAATAAAATTAAATTAATATAACAAAAAATCAATTAATTTAAAAGTAAATAATTAAACATAAATAACAAAAGAACAGCTTAAAAATTAATTATTTAAAAAATTTAATTCATTTTGATATTTGCATTTGCTTTTAACTTGTAAGTAATTGAATATTTAAAGAGCATACAGGTACAAAAGGCGGCGAGACGGGGCCATTCAAAAACTCTTAGAGGCCACGTATGGCCACAAGTTCTCCACCCCTGTTACAATGTATATAATATATCTATCGTATATGTAGAATAAAACTAACATTTTAGTTTATATATTTATAAAAAATTAAAAATCCGAGATTTTTATTGTGAAAGTTCACTATAATATTTTTATGGTATTTTAGAAAAATGTCATATTTTGATTATTTATTATTAAAAATTAATTTTTTTTTTAAATTTTTATGCATATAATTAGTTTTCGAAAACTATTTATATGCAATAAATTGCATATAAATAGTTTTCGTCAAATTTGAACTGATTAAATTTCCATAAGTGAGTAAATTGATAAATGGCTTTATGAAATCCAAAAATATTATCGCATTACTTAAATTGGCCGATAAAGAAGCGAGCGTTCCTTGTTACCATTACTTGTTAATTGTTTGTTGCTGTATATTTCGTATTGTGTCAGTGCTGTTATAAAGGTACGATAAAAGTCGTACGTATAAGTAGTCATTTTATAAAATATTAATTCATTTTTAAAATATTACGCTGTTTTAATGAAACAGCTTTAATGAAACAACAGTGCTACAATTAATAGTTGTTATTAAAATTAAATTAATAAGGATTAAATTTTTGTTACATAATAATGATTATTATTGTTATATGTACATTTTTCACGCCACAATTACTGCGACTGTCATTAACACAAGTAATAAAAAATATTTAATTTCCTTATGAAATTTACTGATAAATGTATAAAAAATGCTGTAATACGGCGTTGCTTCATACAATAAAATATTCTTATACATTGAACATTCTTAATTGGATTTTGAATTTTTCTTAATTGATACTTTATACAATTTTATATAATTGTTCATAATTTTTATTCATAAATCAAGAATATTTCGTTTTATTTCGGAAAAAATAATGTTAATTGCAAGTAAATGTGTACTTTATTACTGGTACGAGTAATTTAAGTAAGTACCACATAAATTTATAAGTAACTTGGTTGAAATTTTGCGCAATACAATATAGTAATAGAACGGCGTACTATAGTAAAAGGTATAATTAAATAATATTAAGAGTCGTCTTAGTAATTCTATTAACAATTCCTTCATAACCTCGAAAAAGTCGGGCTACAATACTGAAATTTTGAACTTTGAAAATTGAACTTTCTAATATGGCAAAAGAACTTTATCGAAATTGTTATCGAAGTTGTTATGGCAGTTGCAATATAACATAGATAATAATTTTGTTAAAATCTATAAATCTATATACTACACTGCTCTGATTGCATAAATTCAAGTTATATATATTCATTAGTCAAAGTCGAAGTGATCTCATTTATTCCCCACAGATTTCACATCGCTAACTTTGTCTATTTTCATGCTATTCATATTCTCTTCGAAAAAAATTTTTATTGTAGTAGAAATTTTTACAAGCAGCATTAAAAGGTAATAAGTATCATGTGTTTTCTCAAGCACAACATCAGATTTGAAAGCCATATTGAACATATGAGCTATTAAACGCATTTTAGCAATTTGAAATTTTAATTTTTCAATATAGAAACTTCAACACTTAAATGGAAACAGAAATGATAAAAAGTGAAAATAAATTCTTGAAGGACACATTTTATGTGTATAAATACACGCGCTATAGTAAAAAATTATAAAATATTAAAAAAATTTTACATGTCAAAAATAAAAGGTCAAAAATTTTTTAACTACGCCACACATAACCCACAAGTATCCCACATAATATATTTTCTCATTATAAGTTTACATAATTAAAAATGTCATTTAAATAGTTTATGGGCTCCATATTATACCGTTTTGAATAAAATCTTGCATCCAGAAAACAAATCCTTATACTTTTTTATATCAAAGCAATCTAACAACGTTGGCAGATTTCTTGGCAAGTAACTTAAAATATGTATGTAAATATTCACGCGAAATATTTTCTCCAATTTCATACCCATACAAAAATATTACACACGTACATACATACAAGGTTACAAGTTCACAAAAGTTCTATAATAATTACAAAACGAGAAAGCAAAAACAAAAAAAAAATTAAGCCCCTTTAATAGGAGAAATTTAATTTTTTTTCAGCAGCGCTGATCTTTCCTTTGTGATAAAAAAAAAATTATTTTTTTGTTTTACTATTTTTTTTACCCTTTCTTGGCTTTCAGTGCATAAATATTTTTTTTTTTTTGTAAGATTTAATGATCCTTATCAAGCATATAAGAAAGAGAAAATGAAAAAGCAAAAATTAAAAGAGAATAAAAAAAAAACTTTGAATAATTTTCTCTCTATAAATTTTTTTTTTCTCTTACATTTCAACCCCACATATAAGTATCGTATACGATAATAAAGAAAAATTTTATTTTTAACCCTCTTATTTAGGACATCATTTTTCGGTTCAAAAACCTTTTTCGCAAAAAAAAAAAAAAAATTAAAAATAAAACAAAAAAAGAACAAAAACGAAACGTAATAATCCTTAAAAATAGAGAAGGAAACAAATTTTTCTTCTGCATATCTTTTTTCAAAGTCTTCAACTCTTCAACCTTTTTCTCCTTGGTTTTTTTCATTTTTCATATAACCCTTAAAGGGGGAAAGAATCCATCTATCAGTTCGTCTTATTTTTCTACTTTTTCTTCATTGTTTTGTTGTTTTGCTTTTTTGAAAAATACCTGCATATTAATTTCATGTCTATAATTATTTTAATTCTTATGAAGCCTAATTAACTCCTTTATTTTAAAATGCTAAAGAATATATTTCATATTACTTGCTATTATGATAGCATATGTGTGTACACATATTTGTACAAAATGTTCATTTATATGTGCATTATGTGAATTCCTTGAAATACTTTCATAAAAATTCTTATATGCATTTCCATTTTCTTTCTTTTGGAACATATACGAATATTTACTTTAGAAATTTTTTTATTATTATTATTCTTAATATTTTAGTATTTTTGGTATTCTATTTCAAGAAACAAACAAAAAAAAAAACAACTAAAAAGAAGTGAGCTAATCTATATTGAAATCTAACAACCCTAAGGTGCCGGTTAAAAATAGTGCATGGAAATAATTTCCATTTAAATTGAAAATAAGAAGCTTATTATATAATAGGTTTGAGTATACAAAAAAAAGAAGAGTTCTTCGGTACTATAAAAGAGTACTTTCTTATGTATTGAATGAAATTAAAACTTATTGGAATTCTTTACAAATTGGAGATTATGTTTGAGCATATTAAAAATTCCGAATTTTAACAAGGGTTGTACTTCTTATTTATTATAAAGGTATTTACAATTTTTTGATTGCATATTAAAGTTATTCCTTTACAATTCTGCAAGGATCTTTAAAATTGCAAGTCAATAGCGAAAAAATTTAATTCTAATTCAAAGATTATAAATATAAAATTTATGGCTATTTTTGACCAATAAAAATTCCTGCAATGAAATATTACCTTTTCTTTTATGTATTGTGAAGATGAAGGATAAGAAATCAATTATTTTACTGCTTACTAAGAATGCGATATAATTATGTTTTAGAATTATTAACCAAATAGACTTGGTTCTGCTATTCTTTTAATACTTATATCGAACTAAAATTAGTTGTAAAAAAATTAATTTGTTTTAATAACTCTATATGGAGAAAGTACGTCGATATTCGCAATACAATACAAATGCAATCAAGTCAGAATTACTCCATTTAACGCATATATTTTGTATAAAACTACTCTTCCGAACATGTAAGCTGATTGAGATAAAAAATGAGCATCGATTTTGTGTTATTAACTCATTTGATCACGAGTTTTTTTCTATGTTTTTAAAAAAAATTGTCTATTACTCTTCAGTTTAACATTTAATTAATAAATAATCCCCCTTATATGTAATATATGTATATGTATATGTGCACAAAATTAAATGAACATACTGAAACCGAAACAAAAGAACTAGTAAAAGTGCATTGTCGCATTTAAAATGTCTAAAGTAAAGAGAATGTATTTTTTATATTTTAAATAAATTATACGATAATTTAAAATGGAATAAAAAATTTAGTATACCCTTAAGAATTTTTTAATATGGGTTACAATACAACAAAAAACATAAACAGTAGAAAAATAAACGGAAAAGAAATAGGGATTTAAAGGAATTTTGTTTCTGTTTTGAAATCTTAGTGCCGAAAAAAATTGTTTCTTGGTTCTATATTTTTTGCATGAACCTGGATTCCATGTTATGCATCTATACACCATATTATATGCTTCTTAAACATGAACATGTAGGTAAAGTTGCATTTATATTGCATTATGTAACACAAAGTATGCATTCTTAAAACAAAAATTTAGAAAAAGAAAAAAACGAAGAGAAATTCAAAACTGCTTGAAATAATTTTTAACCCATTTAATATAAAGGGTAAAAATTTCTCCCGTGTTTGTTGTTTTATGCATCTGTAAAATTCATTTGAATTGAAATCGGCTAGGATGGGCTGATTTGATGAACTTCCTATTACGTTTTAGGTTTTTCCTTACAATTTTTCATTTAACTCTGAAATTATTTTCATTTTATACTTTTATAATGTTTTTATGTG